TGACGGAAAATCAAGAGTTTTGTTTTATTTCTTGTGATAAGAATAAATTTTATTAACTTTTTATCGGATTTGTGCTTTCAGTCTATTACGAACCTGCATGCACGCAACAATGTATTTATTTTTAGGTTTTTGTGTGCCATTTTTTAGCATGAGTTGATCCCTATTTTCCTGGGTTTATCAGTGTATAAAATTTCCTATAATGCAAAATCACTGTAACTATTTCTTGTCGTTCGGCTTATGAAAGCAAGACATATACTTTGCTAAAACTGCTTTACTTTCAGCGGGGGAGAAGAACTCAGATTTCATGCATTTGTGATACACAAAAAGAATTCAATAGATTACACTACTTGTACTACATATTGTCAAGATATTTAACTTGTTGAAAACTTAAAAATAAAATTTCAGTTTCATTTTTATCGCTCTAGCTCCTGAGAAACACTAAATTAAAAAACATTTTTTATTAAATCCCGTTTAATTACTTGCGTGAGTAAAAATTGATATTAATTAAGCAGGACCGAGTCTTCAGTAAAAGCGAAAGTTTCATGCATCTTAGAAAAAGAATCAGCATTCAAGTTACTAGTAAAAAAACTTAATGAGGAGTTAAAAAATTAATGATTACGACAAAGAGCTTAAGCTTTCTCCCCCTCACACTTTTGTTCGAAATCTAATTAAAGAACTTTATCTATAAAAACAACTTTTTTCTTCTTTAAAGGCCTTTAAGAAATTAAAAAACCACTATCGTTATGAATGGCTTTGCAGAACGACTTATCGCCCATTCGCAATGGAAACTAAAATAAAATGTCCTCATTAAATTGCAAATTATTCCTTTTGAGTAAGAAATCAAAATTCAATCTAATAATTAAAAGGAGAAGGAAATGACAAGCAACGGTTAGTAAACATCTCGCGTTGAAAATTTCGAGAGTCAGTAACACTTTTAAATGACACTTAGATGTGGCCTCAACATTTTCAATGATAATCCTTTCCATGAATTATCTATCTCATTCATTTCCATGAGTTTTCTCTTCTCCACTTTTCCTCTTTTTCTTCACGTAGAGACTATACTAATTTTTACATCCTTTTTAGAAGTAAAGGAAGTATTGAAATTTATCATATTTCAAAGAAAATATCCTTTTTGACTGCTCTCAAATCCATTTGAATGGTGTTTTGTTTTCGTATCATTTTTTTATACATCTGTATGAACAGACAGAATAAAGGATTATTTTCTCCAAAACAGATTGTAAAATGACTTTAAAATGCATTCAGAAGATATTTTTTCGTGATATCTGTATATAAAGATGTATCTCGCATAACTCAAAAACGCGTACACTTAGCGTTAATTTTTTATATGGAACAGCTATAACATGTAGTTGTGCACCGCCCTTTTTGATTGCAGTTGGATATATGATATATATAATTACAAAATCAATTCTTTTGAAAACAAAACACAAACATGCGTAATATTTTCGCGCATTAAACTGTTGAAAAATTATCATTAAAGACATAAAGCAAGAAATTTAGAACTTTCACAAAGACCGGAAATTGAAATTCATAATTAATAAATTTCCAATAATCATATAAATGCAACAAAGCAATTCAAAGTGTTAAAACCAAAACATTTCAAACAAGCAAAATTCCCTTTCAAAAATTTATGAAATTTAATGAAATATGAACAAAAACAGGAGAGGAATTCAATTAAAATGTCACTGCATCACGGGAGAGAACTTTGAAATTAATTGAAATATCTCTTCTACAAAAATCCTTGCTTTTCTGTATCTAGAATAAGCCTATGAACCGTTTCAGTGTATTTTAATTATAATTATAATAGTTCACCCAAAAATTCTGGCCCTTCTCCAAAGCAAGGAAAAAACAAAGTAAATTCTAATAGAAAAATTAGAATAATCTTAAAAAAATAGAGAATTATTTTTCTTAAAGAACAGAAAACGAAGGTGAAAAAACAAAAGTGGAAAAACATAATACTTCAGTAAAAAATTTTAAATCAAAATGTTTACCTTTAAACAGATAATCCAGTGAATTTAGATGTAGTAAAGTCCCCTCATCCCCAGTCGCCTTTTAAAAGGGGGAGTATATAAGGTACCAGAATTGGCCGCAGCCGACCTACCTAACCAAACAAGTTGGTCTTATGGTCATAACAGGCCACGCCCAGGAGTATATAAGGTATTTTCTCTCTCCTTTCAGCATTCCTTCGTGGTGTTACGGTAGCACACTTGGCGCGTATTCGAGAGGTCCAGGTTCGAGTCCCGGCGAGGGCATTGCACATTTTCTCACATTTCCTGCTTAAAACAACCTAATGTCTCTACAAATCATCACAAATTCGAGTGCATACCTTCAAATAACAATATCTGAAATTTTGATTGGTTGAGCATATAGGCCGCTAGGGCTTCATATATCGAGGAAGTTGTTTTATGATCACCCGTTATAGGAGTAAGTGTTAAATGTTAGGAATACTTTAATGGCCACATCGTCGAACATATGCTGCTTAAAATATATATGGTGAAAGTTTACTGAAATAAAAGACTTTAAAAGAAGGAAAAGTAGCGTACTAAAAAATAAATATTTGGGAACATTTAAAATAATGAGAAATATAAAATTAATTTTTGAAAAATCTACATTTACCACCTAATTGTGTATACAAAATATTCTGTAGGAACTTCTGCTATATAATTTTATAAAAATGGGAGAATTTCTACGGGGAAAAAATTATATTTCTGTCCTTCTGCAGAAAAGAAACGTATATATAATAGAATTTATTTTTTTGGTTTTGATGTTCAGTGAATCAAATCCAACCCATTAAAAGCCAGAAAATAAAACTATGCTCAAGATGTATTTGTTGGCAAATATCTTTACGTCAATATAGGAGCTGAATTAACGTCATAATGGACTAGCCGATCAAGCGTCTCAAACCGAACTAAAAGAGAAGAACCAGCTGCGTTGATTCTCACATAGTTACGTTCCCTTGAAACCTCTGCAGTCGGAAACCTAATATACTCCGGAGTCGATAATCAAGCCTTAGATACTCTGATGTGGCAACCATATGACTTCCTTTATTTATCAGAACAGCTAGAAATTTATTATTGTAGAATATATTGCTTGACTTGAGTAATGTGAAGATAATGATAACAGTCTAATTGATATTCACGTGGGCCAAATTATAATTTAATCCCTCCTAGAAAGGCTACAGGACGTGTTCAGAATCATTTATATGAAATCTTTATTTTATTCATCATTGAATATTATCGGATTAAAAGTTCTCGCAGGTTTCATAGCAATACAAATAAAACTTTAAATTACTATTAACTTTTATTTAGTTCACTCAAACTGTTTCACTCAGGTTGGAATTTTGTCGTCGATTTTTAACCTATTTCCTGATATGCTGTTGAATTCAAATTTTGTAGAAAAAAATGTTTGTGAATGAAGATATAATAAGGTGGTGAAGCGAGTTTTCCAAAATTCGATTTAGATTTTCTTTATTTGATATTTAAATGATTCTTTGCACATATCTTCGTTTAGGAAACAAACATACTAACTTCTATAAAATTCGAACTTAAATTTCGAATTTTCGGCAAAATTTTTAGACTGTTTGACGCTTACGATTTAAAAAATTTAATATCTAAAAATACATTAGATATAAATAAAGTTTTCAAATTTTCAAAGATTATACAGTAAACTTTTCGCCCTCTTTTAAAATAAGAATGATACAAAAATATTAATTGAGTGATTTTCTACAATTAAAAAAAAATATTTTGCAGTCTGAAGCAGACAGAAGAAAAAAGCGTTTCTTACGGAAAATTTGCATTTTGAAGAAATAATGGTACCTAGAGCCATCAAATTTTAAACAACGTAGTCCTCCAACCGAACACGGGCACTTAGAAGCCCGAATTTTGAAGTTGTTTTATTATCTATTTAAAATTTTGTCAAGCTTTAACGAATTTTTGGTTAACATACTCAACAATTTCAAACTGAGCAATGGGAACACTGCAAGGAAAAGAACATTTTATCTCCAGCGCGCGAGACTGTGTATCGGAAGTTCTAAAGATATGTTGTTTATAACATTTTATGATATTGCTGTCGAATCGAATTTTATGTATTTTAAGTCCGAAGACTATGATGTTTAAATCAATAAAGGTAATATACAAAACGTTAGAAAAGCGCCCTTTTTGGCTTAACATAAAATCTGAAAGCTTTCAGAATTTTATTTTTAAAATTATAATTTGAGATTTACATATTTTTTATCTTACATATACGCACATATACACCCAACGCATAAGCCGGTTCAAAAATCCTTGGCTGGGATTTTATTTTCGCAACCGTTGGTTGTAGTCTTTTACTTCCAACAACATAATGTTTTAAATGACAAAAATATTCAAATTTTGGCAATGTCAAATAAAAAAATAATTTTCGACAAATAATGAAATCTAACTGCATATATAATAACTGTTTATATATGTAATTATGTATATAGGAGCTGAATTAATGTCATAATGGACTAGCCGATCAAGCGTCTCAAACCGAACTAAAAGAGAAGAACCAGCTGCGTTGATTCTGTAACTGTATATAGGAGCTGAATTAACGTCATAATGGACTAGCCGATCTCCTAATAAATATCTAACAATATTTAATGTCAGTTTATTGCTGTCCTAAAAAGGATATTTAATAAACCGTACAAGGAAGTCGACTGGTATCAACATAAGATTTTTTATCATCAGATTCTTCCAAAATTTTTTTTCAATAAGGGGCTTTCCAATTTTTTTAGCAAAAAATGTTTTAGGAAAAAATTGGAAAATCGGTAACTGAATCGATTTTGGAGTACCAAGTGCCCTTAACTTCACCGACACCTGATCTACTTAAATAGTCAGGTGATTTAAATTTAGTGCCTCTTTTATATACAAAACGGAGCTAGAATACAAATCCAGAAATTCTTTTACAAAACAATTTTTGTACGGATCTTTGAGTTCTGAAAAGAGTATATCTCAAAAGTATGATTATTTGACACCTGAATATATTTTTGGTCCCACGAAAACACCTTTATGACCATAAGCTGCATAAACAAAATTCCTATCAGCTAATCTGAGAACATTTACAGAATGCGGGTCATTTTCCAGGACCTATTTCGAAGCCTGATACTATATCGAAATGCAGGAATATTCTGCCCAATCTAAGATATATGGTCGAGGATATTGAAGCAAAAAAGTAAATATCTCTGCACAGTGCTTCTATTGTTCTATGCAATTCTATGCAATTCTCTGCACAGTACATTAGAATTTGTGCACGCCAAATGTTGAAAATGCGGAACGAACTTTTTGTGCTGCTTGTTGCAACATAGGAAACTGCCGTTAGTTATAAACTTATGAAACCGACAAAAACCTGTCAACAGAATAGTATACTTGAACAAATCATTTAAGTTTTTACTTAAAAACAGAACTATTGGTACTGTTTTATTATCAGAACCAGGTCCAGAAATGTATGTATGTATGCACGTATGGATGGATGGATGGATGGATGGATATGTTCATGTACGCATGTATGTACACTGAGAAAAAAAAGGGGAGGATGGTTTTCTATATCTCCCGTTCTGGCTGGGCCGATTGACGAAATTCAACTTGCGTTTTTCATGTCTGGAAAGCACGACTTAGGATATGCTTTAGATTTATATATAGCATTGTTATAATATAGGTATTTTGACATAAAATCGGATTTTTTCTGAAATGACATGCAAATTGTTTTCCATATTTCGATTCTACTACTCAAATTATGGCAAACTGCCAAGTTTTATACAAATCGAATCGCACGAGTAGTTTTTAAAAAATTAGCTTTCAAAATTTTAGCTTCTCAATGTTAATTGAATTTGATATATATTTATTAATATCTCTTTTTTTTATTAAACTTACTTGATTCCTTCTTCCAGAATTCAAAATTTAGGTTTAATCCAAACATAACTCGCCCATGTTTTATGATTTATTTTAAAATTTGTATTTTTAAATAATTTTTGTAAATTTTGCGAAAAATTGAATTATAACCTATAAATGTTTTGCCATCATCTTATAGTAGAAGTGTTTGTAAGGATACCTACAAAAAATTACATTTTTTTTATTCAAAATTTCCTAAGGTATACGTGAATTTACATTTTGGCGTATTTATTATAAGCGATAATAATGAAAATGTGGTTTACGCACCTTGTTAAAATTATTTGAAAGTATGAACGACGACTTTTTTCCGTTCGTTTACAATGAAAACAAGAAAAGGAAAATAGGTTGCTATAAATTAAGAAGTTTGCGAAGTGAATTATTCTTGGCGCAAACTGAAAAAAACAAGCCAAGATGAATTTTTGAATTTCTCACCAAATTTTCCAAAATTTAATATTTAGGCATAATTTGAATCATGGAATCGAAATATGGGAAAAAAGTGACATGTCGTTTAAAAACAAAAGTCCGATTGTTTGACAAAATACCTATCCTAGAACAATGCTGTATATAAATCTAATATATATCCCAAGTCGCGCTTTCGAGATATGGAAAATACAATTTGAATTTCGTCAATCGGTCCAGAAGAACGGGAGATACAAGAACTGTCCCATATTTTTTTCGCAGTGTACATTCATGTGTGTCTGCGTGTTTACACACATATATACATATACACGTGCATACAAACATGCACTTCTGAATCCGGTCCTGATAACAGAGGAGTATCGAACGATTCTGTACCAAGTCATGTAATAGTATATGGCATGAAAAATAGTTTTTAATTAGAATAATGCTGCAGCTGATCATCATTATCAACTGGATGCATTATAAGTTATCTGTATTTTAAATCATATTAGTTAGAAAAATTAAAAAGCAAAATAAAGAACTTAATTAACAAATGGATTTATTATTGTTAAGTTGATGAGTTTGCAAAGAATTTTTAATTTGAAGATAAACTGAAGATCTTCAGTAAATGATAAAACCTGGTAACTGCTTGATAAATTAAAGATTTTACTTCTCGTTGAAAGGCAACATTTTAGACATAAAGTATATAATGAATAGCTTGGTAATATAGGGTAAAAACTCAACAGCATTTTGAAAATTTTGGAACTCTGCTTAAGATATTTTAATAGCAAAATAAAATACAGGTTTAGTTTTTATAATAAGTACTTTTACTCTTAAATCACTTAGTTTGTTAAGCAGTTATAATTCCAATTATAAATTAAATAATTAAAGATTTAAAGATCTTATTTCACAACGAATGGCAACACTTTGGAAACTAGTTGTTTGCGAAACTGGGCGGAAGCTTAAGATCTTGTGTTTCATACGACAGCAGTACTTGCGAGATCGTATGCGTGGTTAAGCGCAAAAAGTTTGCAAAATTTCTCCGAAAAAGCCGCTCAGACCATACAGTGGTTAGGGAAGGCGACTGCGATGCTAAGAGGCTCGGGTTCAAATCCCGATGAAGGCATGGTTGTAACTGTCCGTCCCTTCATAAGAGGTAACGGTGGCCGCGAATTAGGTCTCTCCACAATAAAATGGCCATTATGTCTGGCCTTAGAGTGGTCATTGTCGAATAGACAAGTGCCCGCCATTAGATTTCAAAACTTCGCAGCTGGTGCTTCAAGTAACTTGACCATTCTTTAAACAGAATTCTCACTCTATAATAATATCAGCTGCATAAACTGCAATTCAGTAAATAAAGTCTGTATTTATTCTTCGCGTCGTTCAGTTACAGCTGTCATCGCTTTTTTCTTTCTTTTACTCTTCGTAAAGAAGTTTGGTTTTTTTTATTTCAAGTTTACAAATCGAGAAATGAGTTTGCAATAAATTTTAATTTCCCTCTGCTATTTTCCTGACATTCGATTCCGACTTGGAAAAAAAAAAAAAACTCAATATCTTGAATGCAATATTAATCTTCGAAGTTTTTTTTTTTTTTTTTTTTTTAAATTTGAAGTAAGCAGACTGGAAGAGGTAAAAGGATTAAATAAATCAATGACGTGTTGAATTACTAAGGCATACTCATTTATTAAATAAATGTTTACTGGTATTTTCAACCACGAAAATTTTACAACGCATAAAAATATGGATGTCACATTTTATAAAAACACAGTAGGTTTTTTTCCAAGGAGAAAAATTGTGTTTTTATTTAAAATGTCTGATGAGAGGAAAGAGAAATACATTTTTCTCTCTGGAATAAACCTGTATCCCAGCCATTAATTAAATAGTGAAACAGAATATAGTTAAAGTATTGCAAAGATAAGAGAGAGTATATACATTTTACGTCTGCTGAATATATAATACAATAAGGCATTACAAAAATAAATATGTTTTGATGTATCTGCATGAATGTATGTAAATTTTCCGCACCGTGAAAAAAACCAACGATACCTACAGCAATGAAATTCTGAATAACATAGCCCTCCACCCGAATATGGTCATTCAGAAGCCCGAATCTTAAATTTCTAATTTGTTTATTATTCATTTCATATTTTTTAAACTGTAACGAATTTTTGATTAACAAACACGTCGCTTTCAAAGCGAGCAGTGGCAACGCACTGTACGAAATATTTTATCTCCTGCGCGCGAGACTGCCTATCAGAAACTTTAAAGATATGCTGATTTTAAATATTATTAGTCCAAATGCTCTCGAAACGTGTAGGTATGTGTAAATGAAAAACAGAGCCCCTTTGGGTATAATATAAAATATTATTTTTTTTACATATATTTATATTATTTAACCATGAGCAATGCCAAAAGTTCATATGTAATACGCTCGAAGCAAACTTATGAACTTATGTTCATTAATAATCGCATAACTAAACACTCTGCTATGAAAATTTTCACCCTATAGAAATATGAAACCAAAATAGGGATTGCAAATATAATGACACCTTGAAATACGTCATTAAGATGTACCAGATCTTTCGACGTACACCAAATGAACTTTTCCAATAAAAAATAAAGAAAAAATAATTAATTAACGTTCTTATAAAAAATCCTTTTGTCACTATTACAGCACTGTTTAATACTAAAACACAAATGCAGTGGATGAAATACATGTCGTACATAAATGAAGCACTGCACTGCACGCATAAATGCTTTCCTGCTATCCAGATCAAAATCAACTTTTAAAGATGCTCTATTATCTTCGACTGTTAATCCATTTCACCTCGTTTGCAATTCTCGTATTGTAAAAAAACAAGGATAGTCGATTTAATTAGCGTCTTTGATTTCCATAAACGTAGACATCATCATACTCGGCATACGGTATACGAAAGCTACGTCCCGGATGCGCATGCCATCTTCATACTTTTCAACAATCTTTTCTTTCTTTTTTTTTTTTTCCCACCTCGACGGTGATTATAACAAATTTCTTCGTTAACTTTCCTAAAACTCACTGTTAATGAATTTGCAAAACTTTTAAGCAGAAAAGCACAAAATCATTTGAAAATTCAGCTTTATTACATGAATTGTATATTAAATAATAATAACAGGCGTACTGATGTTCATAGGCAGTCGTAGCATTGTCTCGAATGAGATCAACAAGTGCAGTGCTCACAGTCGTAATGATCCACTGAACTCGAACCGTATTCCAAATAAATGTCGTATACTAAATTGAACATGAGGTATAAAAACTTGACATGACATATACCAAATTGAACATGAGGTATACCCACATGACATGACGTATACCAAATTAAAAATGAGGTATACCAAAACGACATGAAGTATACCAACATGATGTTTACCAAACATGACGTAGTATATCAAGCTGATATATACCAAACATGACGTATACCAAGCTAAATGTATACGAGGTACCACTATAAATTCCCTCTGCTTATACACTTTATATTTTAAATAAGAACCGTTTTATGTTAAAAATTAAACTGTTTATTCTACCCCCTATATACTCTACAATTCTTCAGCTATTTTTCTATACAATTTTCGTTGCTGTTGAAACTCTATTATAGAATAAATATATTTCCATAGATCCGTAGCATAGAAATGTGCTACCTCAGAGGATAACTTTCACTTCTTTGGCGGTTTAGAATCACTGGCCGGCGAAGAGCATTTTTAAATAAAAAAGGAGGCGTAATAGTCTTTCGATGCGGGAACTTCATAATTGGACATTGTTATCGTAACAGTGTGAGAAGCTTACCACATTGGAATAATGAGTTGCAATAGTTTGCAATAGCCAATTGCAAAAATTATGTTGTTTTATGAGAATTGTGCCCCCTATTTGTAACCAATGAGAAAATTTTGTTTTTTAAATTTTGCTTGTGAAATTTAAATTTCACTGTAAGTAAAATTACAGTGATATCTATGAAGATTCCATTATTTTGATTGACTGAATTTTGATATGTAGATCTTCAGAAAACAATTTGAATGTAACTAACTACAAGGATGTGAGGAAGGAGGTTTATAACTTTTTAGAAAATCAGATCATTAAACTCTAGTAAAATTATAAAGCCAGAAACTGTTCAAAAATTTCAGTTTAATAAAAGACAAGTTGAAGGCTATTGGTCTATTTCAAAAGCTACTGCCATGGTTGCGATACCAATGTGCAGTTTAGAAATGCGCTCATGGTGCTCAATGTGGGCTATAAAAAAATGTTTCCAACAAAAAGGATTTAAGTACAGCTTGTGTTTGAGCATTAGCAGTACGGTGCTGTCTTATATTGTCGTGAAAGCAAAATAATTTTGGTAGACACTTACACGTAGATGTTTTAGATTGGAGATTGGAATATTCGTTTCTTCACGATTCACCCTCTTCCTCGACAGTTCAACATCTTCTGCAATGCATAGGATCCGAAATGTAAATTCACTGCTTAATATGTCTTTCCGTTTTGTTTTCATCTTCAAAATCTATCTTGAACACAACTCCCTGTGACTCAGCTTTTCCAACATAATTTTGTGAAGACCTGATCGTGAAACTTGCGGGAAAATTGTCTGATTGCGTGGAAACGGTGAATCGGTTGTTATCACGAATCATAATGATTATCACACGCACAAAAATCATCGGTGACTGCAAACAGCTGGCCTATTCTTAAACAATCCACTTACGAACTATATCATTTATGAACTATTTATTCTGTTCACAGATCTGACAATGAAATTTGTGCCGATGTCGCATATCCTTCCGTTAACAAATGAATAACAACGGACCTTATTTCCCAAGTGACTTCCGCTTGATCTTCTTAAACGTTACAATGATATGATACAAAACGTATGCACTGCTGACTGATTCAAAATGGAGTGCCAAATGGAGAGCAAAATCGCAAAATGGAGTGCCGTTTGCGAGCAAAGGATGGTGGAAAACACTGCGCATGCGCAAAATTATGATTATTTAAAAAATTGCGCCCAAATAATATTATTGAAAATACACTACATAAATCATGTATTTCCAGAAAGGTATAAAATCGATCTCAATTTTACTATTAAAATATATCATATAAACTTTATTATTTTTGTAGAATTAAATATTTTTCATTTTTCATGTGTTTGGAGAAAGACTTTATTTATGAGGCAGGCCTGATGCTGGTTCTACCCTTACGTAATGATAATAGGCAAGCCCCACGTTGCAGTAAAGTATAATTTAATAAGCAAGTATAGGGAATTTACCTTTCGACGCCAAGCTCTGTTTTCTTTCATGGCAGTGGGTGAGAATGGCCGCGGTCCTAAAAGTAAAGAATGGAATCATTTTAAAAAGGCAATTCAAATGTATTGGACATAATATAACATGAGTCTTAAATAAATAAAGTACGTAAAATATTTACAACGAGTAAATTATTACGAAACAGAATGCTAAAATACAATTCTTTCCAAACGGTTTACATTGAAGAGGTTGCAAGTATTTTATACATTCTTAACAGTTAGAAAAGCGTAATATGTGATTCTGAGATAATCGCCATCCTTGTAAAAAGAGCAGAAGTGTTCCTGCTGATTTACATAATATACACATTTATTAATTGTTTCATAACATTTCATACGTTAAGGGTTATTTCGCAAAATTGTACATAAAGAGTGATTCAAAAAGATCCAGAAGAAATGTTAAATCAATAGAGGGACCAAAATAAGCACATCTGGTAAAGAATGCTTGGGTCAAATGGACGTTAAACTGGTACAAAGCGTTATTGACTGGTAAGCAAAAGTGTTCTGCTGTCGTAAATTGTCATTCCTCCCGCGAATTTTGAGAGGTATGCATCGCTAGACGAAGCGAAGGTGGAGGACAATTTTATTTAGTGGCTGCTTCTAAAACAGATCACCTACTCCAAAGAGAAGCAGAGAGCGATTCCCGAACATCTCCCTTTTATACTGCGGGGGGGGGGGAAGAAAAGTCAGTTCTATAGCTCCCAGTCTACTGGGCCGATTGATGAAATTCAACTTGTGTTTTTTATGTCTCGACCCGCGCGACTTGGGATAAGTATTAAATTTATTATTCTAATATACGCATTTTAACACAAAATTGGACTTTTTCTGAAATGACATTGAATTTGATATATATTTATTAATATCTCTTTTTTTATTAAACTTGCTTGATTCATTCTTCCCGAATTCGAAATTTAGGCTTAGTCCAAATATAATTCGCACATATTCGTACACCCGCGCCCTTCAGTAGCGCAATCAGGCACCCCTAACCATTTTACCGTCTGGGCGGCATAAACAAGCGTTAGAACCTACGTTTTTTGGAAAACAATTAACAATTCACATGTTATGAATACACTGTTTATCATGTTTCTATATATGTCAAGATACCTCCGCGGATTGCATTCAAAACCATAGCCTTCTGTACAAAACGTATTCATATTAACCATTTTTAGCTTGTAAATATTCTCACTGAAGCAGATGATAATTTATCTCTCAGTGCAAAAGCTGTTGCCAGTTATTTTTAATTTACTCGCTAATTTAAAGTCATTAAAAACGTGAGAACATTCCCTGAATCTGTGACAAAGATCAGCCAGATATTATACTGCGATATAAATCTAGAAGCCAGACTTCTGAACGAGAAAAGAATATTTTAAAAATATGATACAAATAAAGTTAATTAGTTATATCGAATTTCTCTCGACAGAACAGCACTAATTAGGCATGTTGGATTCCGAGCGATTTAGTTCTGATAATTAGATTCTAATTTAAGGATAATGAACATTTCTAAAGCTGTTGTTACTGATAAATGCAGAAAAATAAGCAGAATTGTACAGGCTCTCTACTTTGATGCTCTTGGGTAAGTAATAGGATGGGAGACAAATTTAAAATTTTATTTTTATGAATACAATGCTCGCATTTATTTTCCGACACATGTATTTTTTATATTTATTTACATAAATTTTGTACTAACTAGTGAAATACAAACTCCTTATTTTTTTCCTAATCTAGTATTTTTTTAGTATTGTAAGCCTTGATTTTTTACAAAATAAATATTATCAAAATATTTGTTGCAATAAAATAATTTATTTATGATGTTGTTGCTACTAATCTCATTTATTGATATAATCAAAAGAATCCGACGAATTATTATCGTGACAAATAGTTCAAGATTACAACCGGCGTTGGCGAGAGCCTTAGGCACCATTTAATTGACAGTCTGATTTTATGCTCAGTTTTGCCCTGAATTTTGTAACAGTGTATCCCGGGAGGTGGAACTGAGGGTTTCCCACTTCTTCCCTTAACACGAACCTCTCGAGAGGACTTCCGGTTCACCGAATATTTTCTTTCTCCCCATGTTGCACATACACTATACATTTGCAAACAAAAATGCTTTCTTCGGGATTCGAATACGGGCCATTTGGTACGGCAGTCAGCGTGGTTAACCACTTTCCCGTTTCGGAGGCCATAATTTACTAAAAAGATATTAGTCGATAACTCCCATAATTCCGACAGTTGAAACTTTAGTTGAGATATTTCGACAGATGAAGTTTCTTGTTATCCTAAAGGGCGTTAGCCCAGAAGGGCTATTAATTTCGTTTTGGCATTTTGTGGCGTTTCACTATAAACGACGTTTCACACACTATAAATGACTGCCACCAAATATTATTACCCTGTATTATATTTAAAGAAATTAAATAATAAAGAATCATGAAAAATCTGCATAAACGTATATATGGTTCTCGCACTGTGACAAAACAGCGGTATCTAGAGCCATCAAATTTTGAATAACGTACACCTCCACCCGAATATGGGCATCTGGAAGCCCAAATTTGGAATTTGAAATTTCTTTTATTCTGTAAAGCACTTATGAGTTTTTGATTAAAAAACTGAACAATTTCTGTATATATACACGCATTTATTTTCTGATGATTGCAATAAAAAGGAAGGTGCCGAACTTGATGTCATAGTAGTCCCATGTACAAAATGTCAGGCTAATCGTTTTTGAGTTATGCGGGATACATACTTACAATCACATTAACGAAAAAAATCCCTTTTGGATCCACATGAAAACCATTTTATATCTTGTTTTGCAAATAACTGTCCTTTATTCTGTCCGTACGAGCAGAATTCAAACAAAAATTGTTCAAATGGATTTGGGAATGGTTAACATGGATATTCCTGTTGAAATATGATATCCGCAATTTTTCGCCATTACTATACTTCTTTTACTTCGTACAAAGAAGTAATAAAATAATAATACAGGAAAAGATATTTCTTCCCGCCCCCAGTAACCTTACCACTGCATATTATTTAAAACTGGAACATAAAATTTCATATTTTTGTTTACAAATATACCTAAACTCCTCAAACCGGTTAATTATAATAACCTCAAATTATAATGTTTACGATATATTCCTTAACAGGTGTTCTCAACCATGGGGGAATTCCTCCGCCCTTCGGGGAATTACAAAGCTTCATGAACTAGAATGCCGTCAGACTTTTATTTATCTGTTAAGTATTTAGTATTATTTTATGGATATACAATACAATTTTATTCAAATTTTGCTATTAATCAACATTTTCAACATTTTTAGTCCAGAAGGGCTTTATCCCTGAAGGACTATTGTTTTAGTTTTGCGATTTTGCGTTGAAAACTTTAAAAGGCTATATCACTTTTCAAATTGTTGCCACGAAATAAAATCGCCCTGTATTATATTTAAAGAAATTAAATAATGAAGAAATGTGCATAAATATATTGTTACGAATTTGGTATTTAAAAAGCTAATGTTAGTGCAATTATAAATTAAATGGTTTTATTTCTCGCGCAGTGCAGCGCGTGACGAATATTAAAAGAAAGCTAAGCCGGAAAATTGAAAATACAAGAGCGCGTGCATTAAATAAATAAATATCTCTTTTTGATTTCGAGAAAGTACTGGAAAATTCTAGCGCGTGATTTTAAAATCTTATAAAAGGAGGAAAACATCTCAGTTTGTAGTTAGTTGCTGCTTAGTTTGTTGTTGTTTAGAGAACTGCTCTTGTTGATTGTAGCGAATTCGCGGATTAGCGTTCTTTAGCTGTTTTGAATTACGTTCTATTGGACATTTGAGTAGCTAAAAGATAACTACTCTGAGATATTGTAATACTGCATGATAATTTGAGAAAATTTAAGCATTTTTGTTGTGATAATAATAAATTTTTGTTCATTTTTCATCGGACTTGTGCATTCATTTCATAACGAACCCGTATGCACGCAACAAGTTTTGGTGTCAGGAGTGGGGTTCGAATGCCAATAACAAGAGCGATGGAAGAACAATTGAGACAGCTCATTAGTGCTTTTGCTGCATTCCAAAAAAAGATGGAAGCTGGCCAAGCATCATTTAAAGAAGAGATGAAAGACTCTGTTAAAGCAGAGATTAGATCCGTTAAAGCAGAAATGAAATTGTGCCAGGAATCCGTTAAGGAAGAAATGAAATTGGGCCAGGAATCCGTTAAGGAAGAAATGAAATTGGGCCAGGAATCCGTTAAGGACGAAATGAAAGCCGTTCAAGCTGGTCAAGAAGAAATGAAAAGAGAAATTACTTGCATAATAGAAAATAAATCTGAAGCTATGGAAGGCAGAATTGACGCAGTTGAAAATAAAGTTGGACATATTGAATAAAGAGTTTCTTCGGTGAAAGAAGAAATAGAAGAAAGAGTTTCTTCTGTAAAAGAACATATAGAAGGGAGAGTTTCTGCTGTGGAGGAACGAATTGAAGGAAGAGTTTGTGCCGTTCAACACCAAATCGAACAACAAATTGATGAGAGAGTTTCTGCAGTTGCTAAAGAAATGGATACTTTAAAGAAATTCGTAGCGTCGGCAGGGAGCAGGAGTGATGATTTTAAATTCTTACCAATGCCTGCTCGTCCACCTCTGAAGCTATCCACATATGATGGGAAGACCTCCTGGGAGGTGTATACGACACAATTTTCTATCGTGGCGGATGCGAATGGATGGGATTCCCAAGCTAAGGCCTGTCATCTCGCCGCTTCTCTAAGAGCCGACGCAGCGGATATCCTTCAGACTCTTCCCGAAAACAAAAGGTTAGATTTCGAAGCTCTGTCCGGCGCCTTGGAGTTGCGCTTTGGGGAGAAGTGTTTAAAAGACTACAGCAGGCTCCAATTAAAATCTCGTCAACAGAAGCCTACCGAAACACTTCAGGAGCTCGCCGCGGATGCTGAAAGGCTGTCCCATCTCGCCTTTTCGGAATGCCCGACAGAAACAAGGGAAATCCTGTCCTTGCAATACTTTATCGACGGCATCCGGGATACT